ATCTTTTAGCATTATAACTTGTTTTATTAAGACTAATATTTATTCTTGGTTACTTTTTTTTCTGCTGTCTCTCTTTTGTAATTCTTTCTATTTGGGTTCTAAATATATTTGTTCTATCAGCCTGTTCCTTCGTTTTTTGTGTCGATGAAGAATTTGTCCAACATTGAAATGCAGTTTGACTAAATGATTCGTGAATCGTCTGATTGCTGATTTTGGGATCTGTCTCTCTTTTCTCTCTCTCTTTTTTAAGTATAAATTTCACTCATTTCATATACTTCTATCGGTCCACTTAATACTTAAAATAAAATTGAAAAGTACGGAAATGCATTTTGAAAATGAGACTTGATAACCCCGTGTGCGACCTGTATAACAAATTAAAAGTTTTTTTGGTTTTTGCAGTACCTTTCCTGTTCTATTCAGCTTAAGCTCGAGTTAAATTCTGCTGTTAGTGAACCAGAGAAAAGGTATATATACCATTTTCAACTTTGTTTAGTTTATATTCTGGGGCACTCTGAAGAGAAGATGATGAAAACCTTCTGAGATTCAGTTCAATTCTGTTCCAAAAAGTATTTGCACGATATGCTGCTTTCTTGTTTCAACATATGAAGAAATTCTGCTTGTATGCTGTGTGAAAACAAAAAAATTTCGTATCCTGTGGCCACTAAATCTCTCTTCTTTTCTTGTTATCTTCTTCTTCCAGTTGCGTATTCAGAAAGATGATGTCCAACTATTACACATATCAGAATCATAGTGTTGTTTACTTCCTACTTTCATGGCTGGTTCGTACTCCTAATTATATGATAACTGAAAATAAATTTGGACATTTGTAGGATGTGGTTTCGTGTTGATGATGGAGAAATCTTCTGAGGCGGGATCATGTTTTTGGATATTTCTTTATATGAAGTGACTTCACAGTAAGCTTAAGTATAATACCTATCGCATTCAACAGCTTGCCATTTTGATTCTTCAAACTAAATGTATATGCATTCGGTTAGATGGAACGCAAGCTTCCAGAAACAAACGTAGTGTAGAATATACCAATCAATGTAAGAAAGAATCTCAGACGTGTCATGTTTAATGTCTGGAATTATGGATTGCAATATCTTAAACTGTCTTCTGGTATTTTGTGTATTTAATGAATGGATTCCTTATAGATCTGTGCTCAGATTTTGCTAATTTACTGCTCCCTTTGTGGTTATTCCTTGTGTTCTTACAATTCATCACACAAGAACAAAACATTGTAGCATGCCCACGTATGGAGATTTTATTCTGATGTGTTTATCACCACTGAAGAAACGAGAACCATTGCACCATATAACGGTCAATTGCAAGGGCTGGACAACTGGCGGGGTCGGTTTGGGCCTTATTCGAACCGACCCAACTTGGTCAGTTTTGGCTTTTTCTGAACTGAACCGTGTCCGACCAGGTTCGGTGACAGAAAATGACCGGGTCAGGTTGGATCAGCGGAAATTTTTTTTTTTTTTTTTCAGTACTAGAATTATCGTTGATCTCTGATCAACCCCTAATTGCCTAAAATAAAATCAGTAAAAGTAAGGATTTTGCCACTTCAATAAGGAATCAACAATCAAATGGAAATAATCTCTATCTAAGAATTGATGTATAATTACAAATTTTCAAAATAGGAGCTAAAGCTTTGTGTCTCAAATAATTAATATAACGCAAATTAAAATCATACTAACAAAAACACAAAACAAAGTTGTCATAAAGCACCAAAAGTAAAAATAAAATATTATATTCATTCAACAAATAATAATATTACAGTAATCTAAACTTAATAGATAAGAAAATAAAAGTACTCTGATCATCCAAAATTCGAACTCTTAAAACAAATAATAAGGTAGCACACTACAATCTCCAATTGTCGCATAAGCTTTAAAGCAGCATTCGTACAACATAGAAATATTTAGGGAAAAATATTAATGTTAGGACCATGCTACAAGTACATAATTATTTACATAATACATTACATAATTGACATGAGGCGCGCATCCATCGGTAGTATACAATTTTTGACATTTCCACACTTCACATACACGGCCTAATTTCTTGCACATGGACCTATGTAATCCATTATATACAGTA